GTGTGTGTGTGTGTGTGTGTGTGTGTGTGTGTGTGTGTGTGTGTACAAGCCATTAGGATGGAATTTGAGGGGTCTTCAGGGAGGCCCGCCACACAAGCTCCAAAATTTTAAAATAGGTGGAAAATTTAGAATTTATAAAAGCATCACTACCTGTGCAGAAACTATTAATGATTAAAGTTACAGAGTTTAAAATCTATGACAAAAGCATAATCTATACATAAATGCATTTATTTTTTTTAAATGATAGCTTGAAGTAATATTTTACATTCTAGATTATTTCTGTTTCAAAGCCCATCAGTGTACACAGTAGGGATGCACGATATATCAGTATTGATATCGGTATCGGCCAATATTGGCAATTTTTTAKAATATCGATATCGGTCCGATATGTAAAACTGGGTCAATATTAACATCCAATATTGATTTCCCACTTTTTATCTTTGTGTTTCTGTTTTGGGAGGGGAGATGGTTGATTGAGGGGCATCTGTTTGATCATAATAGTTATATTGATGCTGCGCAGCCAGGAATAACTGAAGTAGAGCCATGTCAGAGGTCTGGTCATTAATTTACAGTATCAAAAAAGTCCCACGTGTGTTTGTGTGTACATGTATAATATAATTTGTGTGTTTGTGTAATATCGGTAAATATCGGTTATCGGCCATAACAGCAATAATTATATTGGATATCAGTATCGACTGAAATTTTCATATCGGTGCATCCCTAGTACACAGTCACCTCTACTCTGCAAATATTTGCGTAGTACCTCAGATGCTGGTTGGTCAAGAAAACAGCGGCAAACTGAACTCTGTGTCATGCAGAAGAGACATTTAATATTAGCTCAGAGTTCCTTTTGTGTAAAAGAGAACTCTGTATGAGCCTAGAATACATTAATTTAGTAAATTTCTCATATTTAGCTTTGTGCAACATATTTTAGTGACCTATATTAAAATCCTTCATGGCAGACAACTTCTCTAAGCAGACTAAACACAGAGGTTTGTCTTGAAATTTAGTCAGCACATAGTCTAC